TATATATATATATATATATATATATATATTCCTCTGTGAGAGAATGTTCACGTTACTTTAAATCTCCACAACTTGGTGACCAACCATCTTTGGCAATGTGTGCATGTGTTTGAAACAGAGACTAATGGATCAAGAATTATACAATGTTAAATAAGATAAAAGTATTCTTTTATCTATTATTTCTCTCATTGTTCTTTGAAAATTTTCTTGCAAGAAATTATTTCAAAACTTTTTTTATCAAGATCGACATGTGAATAGCAATATATTCATAGTTCCCATATACCCAACACGTGCACTTAAGGGTTAAAAATAATAATATATATACTTTTTTAGTCACAACCGTGCTTATATGGATTCCATTTATTTGTACTAAACTTCAGTCAATACCTGATTAAATGAATTCCTGCTAGTTGAATTCATTTATTTGAATTTGAATTTCTATTATATGAAGGAAAAATCACTAGTAGAGGAAAGAATCCGTGGACTTCAATTAAATTATTTGAGAACTCTCGACAAGTTTTTATGAGCGGAGTTTCACTGTATTTATTTTATAATGGAATGTTTAAGTAAAGATTTTGTATACGAATTAACATCTAAAGCGTCAATTATAGAGAATGATTCTCACTGATGATGATAGTACATAGGACAACCAATTGCCGTAATGTGACAGTGTCATTTAATTCTCTGAAGAAACGAACTGCCATGCTGGTGAAAATTCCGGAGTAATTTTTCTATTAGATACGGTTCGAGCTATAGTTACAACCATGGATACATCGGAATAATTAAATATACATATAGATTTTTATGCATTTACATGAAATTCAACAGTACAAAAATTTGCAAAATGCACACAATGTTGACAATTATACATAATATGATATTTAATCGATGAGACGAATTTTTACTTTTCTTCAATTATGTTCACAGGAATATAAACTTGCACAAGCATCCGCACTCTACTTATGAAAGTTTCCGTGTTTAAATAGTCATCATGGTCTTTGAATGTTTTTAACTTTTAAAATGCGCATTCACTGTAACCGTAGCCTTCTTCTACTTAAAGAAGATAGAGAAGATTTCGCGACATTCATCGATATCGTAAAATGGGCAGGAATCTTCATATTTAACGAGAAGTTTTGAGAAGAGGCGTCGTTAAACACGCTGTGGAATATTTTATTGCATAAAGAAGCCGGTATTAGCAAGAGTTCTCGAGTACACTAGAACGTACGAGTGACCATGGCTCTCCGGTGGAAAAAAAAAATGCATGGTTCAACCAGTGGTTGTTGACCATCCTACTAAAGCTTTCAAGCAAATTAGAAGAAATATTAACAGATGAACATACGAACACTCGGAAGATGATCGAGTAGAATGATCGAGTGAAGTGTTTATCGGAGAAAGTCACATGGTACGGCGATGATTTAGTAAAGTAACGATATACGTAAAACAACCTATACTTTTGTAAATGGTTTCATCAGATTGTGTTGTTTGCTACATTCAAATGCCACGATCACATAGAGACATGCCAATGCCGAGAATAGACATTATCTATGTAAACTGCAAGTACGGTCAGACACAATGACGCTGCGAAGTGTCGTTTCGTTTTGAATCGAGAACATCAAGAGCATCATTATCCACGTGCTTTTTTCACTTAACACCCGTTCCGGTATCTACGTAATTGACGTAAAAGATGTAAAAGATGTAAATATTTATTCCCTTTGGTCGCACATACATGTATTTTTACACTGTCGTTTACCACACAGGCTGAAGAACTATAAAGAAACATATCCTCGATCATCGAATCCTAATGTCCCAGAGACGCAGTTCACCGGATCAGCTGGCCGATTAAAGAAAAAAAATAAGTGTATGTATACGTACAGGATATCAGAAGAAACGTTCTACATTGTTCGACAATGGAAACGAGCCAACTTATCCAACGATTCATCGCGTAAGATGGATTTTGTCAATTGAAAAGCCGGTTTCGACAATCGTTTACACGGTTGAAATGAAAGTATGACGTCGAACGAACGAACGGTAAAGGAATCGGACGCGATTACTTGCTTTACGCATGCCAATTTACCTGCGAAAGTGAGGGCCAGCGTCGCGACGAGAAAAACGAGACGTGAACCAGGGGCCCTGGGTACACGGGTAGGCTCCATCCATGCAGGTAGTGCCCAGGGCGACCGCTGGCACCCCACTGAAAGCCGTACAACCGTACCGACAGTCGCCAGTTACGCACTGACTAATCGACACCCCCGGAGCTCGTGGTGTTTTCGGCCACTCTCTTCCACTACAAGGGGGCAAACGATCAGCACGCCCTCTCCGCTCTGCGTCGAAGCGCACGAAAATCGACCGACGTACCACCCAACCGACCACCCCACCCGGATGCTGCGGACAACTCACTCTGATGATGCTCTCTCCCTTGTTCTTTGCTTTTCTTCTCTTCTTTCCTTCCATTATTCCATTCTTCTTCTTTGTTCTTTCTCTTCTCCTTTCCCTTTCTCGACGCTGATTTTTCTGTTTCGATAGACACTGTTCTTTTCTCCTCTTTTTTTTTTTTTTTTAATTATTATTGTCCTCTTTCTAGATGATTTTTCCCATAGCCAAGTATGAATCATGGTTCTTTCGCATCGTCGTTTTTACTGCTAGCATGTTGAGAATGTGAAGAACTCTTTCTTCTAAGTCTTGGAAAAAGAGAATGTCTTTTCAATGAAACTGTAGTTGTTAAAGATTTAATGATACAGTTATATTGGATACTTTTTTTTTTAGAAATTTCAGTGTCAACGACTACACATCTTCTAAAATTATGTAATTCAGAAAGTTCACTATTCGTACAGTTCGTACTATTCAGTACGGATTGTAAAAGCTATTGAACTGGAAACAAAAATTTTATATTCGTTATTATAAAGTCAGTAAATCTTCAGCTTATTGATGCTGTGAATTTTAAAATTTTTATAAACATAACTAAGAAAATGAATGTTACCAAGGTGGATCTTTGTTTGTTAGCAGACTGTTTGCAGAAAAATTAAGAAACTACGATTATCACCTAACGAGCTGCTTACCATCGTTCTAACGATAGTAACGTTAGTAGTATAATACTCAACATTTAAATGTCTGCCTCTTGTTCGAAACATGCTCAATTCATGCTACAAGTTGTTCACGTCAAATTATCAAATCAAATTCGTGCGATTATCTACGAAATTCATTTACTTATTTAACAACATTGATAATGAGAAATATATTATGTATGACAGTAAATATCTTGTATATATGTAGAAAACACGACACGTATCGCACGTAGATGGAATATTCTGCACGCGTTCTAATTGCATTACTGATACCGGATTATTCTCGTGAAAAATTTAAATATGCGAGAA